ATGGCGGCGGCGATCTATGACGAGAGAGAAGGGCGACAGCGAAGGAAGGAGAAGGGGTGACAACGGCTTGCAGGAGGGGGGAGGGGGGAGTGGGGAGGAAGAAGATTCCAACAGATTTGTCACGTCACATGCCAATAAAAAATTTTAGTATAAAATTAATATATTTTGCCACATAATCATAGCCCAATCAACAAGTCATAGTAGTGCAATTTGTCTGTTAGTTGATTAATGGTCAATTAACTTCACAGACCATTTAGAATCATTTTTTAAACTTTAGGGACTAAAAGTGTTCATTTCGAAACCTCAAGGACTAAATAGACACCAAACTTAAATCTTGGGGCCAAAGGTGTATTTTGCCCTATATTAAAATTGTGAACATGGAAGTTCTGTGGGTAAAATGAGACAAGTCAACGTATGCATAATAGGTACAAGCCTAACTAACTTACAGCCGCCGGCCAACCTAATGATATAAAAACAGCTGGTAAATAATAAAGCATCAGAATATTACAGCTCTAATAGGCTACCTTCTTCACGCGTGTAAGAATTTCTGGACTTGAAGCAACTAGGATGCAGCCTCTAGCCTGATGACAAGATTTACATGATGAAAAAAGCACTTAGTAGCAAAGGATGCAATGAATTTAGCACACAACTACAATTGACAAAGCATGCAACCTGCAAATAAGTCATGTAAGGGCTAGGGTTGACTATTCGCAGAGCTCGGTAGACTTCAAATGGATCTGCAAATGTTCGGCGCTCAAAACGTTGACTTAATACAATCTGGAAGATATCCCCAGCGAGGATGTGCTCCTTAGCCTGCAAAACTGCCTTCTTGTATTCTAAACTTGTCATACTTGAGTTCTTCAGTTTTGGACCAAAAAGATGAGTTAATAATTTTATTGATCCTGCAGGAAGCTTTGGTCTGAAACTAACCGTGTTAAACAATCTGAGAGAAACCTCGCCATGCATGCAAGGAGGAGTGGGGAGCTTAAAGGATCACTTACGGAACTATATCATGTACTCTGGAGAGCAACTTTTCCAACCGAGCAATTCCATCCTTGTATGCCTCTTGAACTGAAGAATATTGATCCAAGTGCACCCAGTGAATCACATAAGCTTGCTGCATTAAAAATCAAAGAAAAAAAATAATCTACAAAAGAAAAGTTGGAAGTTGGAACACATTCAAATCCCTATGAAACACAAAACCAGTTTTAATATGAGTAGACACACCATTTCATTCCAAAAGGATTAATCATAAAGAAGAAATGTGAAGCTAGATACCGAGATCGACATTTGAAAAAATTGAAAGGACTTCTTATTTTTCTCTCTTTACTCACGCAGTTACATATAAAAAAACTAGATTGAGGGCATGTTGGAAATGATTTTAGAATGATAAGTGATTTTGTGAAAGTTATTTTTATATAATTACTTTAACGTTTGGTTACCCATTTTTTCAAGTGATTTTCATATAATTAAGAGTAATTTTGAATGATTAATGTTTGATTTTAAAAGTGAAATTACAATCTCCAAATTAATAACATATATTTGAGAATCAATGCCAAACGTCTATTTTAAAATGGAAGTGATTCTGACATTAGTGAAAGTGATTCTAGTCCTACCAAAATCACTCTCAAACATACCTAAGTCATTTCATTCAAATTTCAAAGAATAGTAAGACAGTGATATAATTAAGAAGATTACAACACAAAGTCTGAGAACAAGAACATACTTTACTGTTGATTCTACCTTATTCACATGATCAAACACAATAACATCATCATAAAGTCCCAGATGAACATCAGGAAGGTTTCTGTCATCTGTTGGCGCACTCGAGAATGGCAATTTCTTCTTTTCTACATAGCGGACAGTATCATATGAAAAGTAACCAACCCATCCTCCTGGAGAGACATTCATTTTGAAGTATTAGGGATTTTGAAGGCAAAACAACATTCTATGGTTAGGAGTAGCCAAATGGATGATTTTAAGTCAATTAAGTAACAATTAGGCATGAGTCTTTCATATAATTGAGCCAATTAACAAAAAATGGGAAATTTTGAAAAAAAAAAACAAAAAAAAAGATATTCATTCATACCCAATAAGAAAATCAAATCATGTAATATGCCAAAAAAAGCAGCCTACTGATGCCCTCAAATCATATAATATTCAAAGTGTTCTTCTAAACTTCATGGTATCTCTGCCGCTAAACAAGACATACACACACCCACCTACCCGTACACTTAGCATGAATGAATTCTCAATAGGTTCCTTCTTCCAAATATGAACATTAATATTAATTGTTTTGTATATTATCAAAACAAAGATTTATGCAGGAATAGATATACGAAGTAAATTATATCATCAACAAAATAATTCATTTTGTACCACAAAAAGCGTCAGGAAGTTCATTAATTAATTGAGGTCTCCAATCCGCCATGATTCTTCGAGGAATTTCCATAGGATCCTCGACAATTTCCTCTGTCCTTTTCCCTTCTTCGTGATTCAAAATAGTAACAACATTCTCTTTGGCCAAAATTTCCATTGTCGGCTGTGCACCAACAACACTATATCTCCCCTGACGAAATGGCATATCAACAAAAAAGATTTATAATCAGCAACCCATATACTACCATTTAACGTTTTAAATAAACGTTTTGACAACAATTGTCAAGCCAACTCACTGACTTTCATTATTAGTTGCTCATTAGACAATAATTTGTTGTATCTGTTGAACTGTCGTAACAATTAGAGTTATAGTTTCTTAATTTGTTGATTAACAGTTAAGAGTTACATAATGAAAAGCTTTGGTCTACTTACAACATTTGAAACCTGCATGCCAGGCTCCACGGATTCGAACAGAAAACTTGGGGCATCTCGATCGTCTTCCTTAACTAAACAACGGTAAGCAAGCACTGGCGAGAGGTGGTCCGAGAAAATGCAACGATGAAGTGGGATCAGATTCCCCTTCTTAGAAGCTTCAGTGAATGCTTCTGAACTGTCGACTGGACAAACAGTAGTAGTACAACAATTAAAATCTTAGAACACACATTTCATCGTAAACCAGAGATAAACGTGTAATTTCATCTCGTAATCTATTTCACGTAAGATTTTGAAATTCCTCAGAGGACAAATATGCTTCTAATATACCGAATGACTGAGCTGAGCATCTGAGTGAACACACTCTCGAGTTGCCATGGACTAGGGCTAGAGATGTGGAGCCCAACCTTGACCGTCCTGCAGCAAGTTTGACGGAGATTTTCGTCGGCGGCCGGAGAGTTGGAGGAAGCCGATTCGACGGTGCTAGGGTTTTCATTATCATCGAAAAAGCTTATTTCATTGGGCTCTAGATAATAATATAGGGCCATGATAAAGTGGATTATCCTGATAATAGTATTCTCAGTCACCGTTCGATGCAGCTTAAAAATATATTTTTTAAATTCTATTTAAACATCGAACGGTGTATAATGATCGGCACGTTCTTCAAAATCTCCTCGTAATTGCTCTGTCGGGAATTCATTGCCCAAGGTTTTGAAACGCGAGGGTTACAGTTACCACTTTCATAAGAAAAAAGAAAGTAGCTGATGTTTTCCACTCTTTATATTAAATATCAGTCGATATTTCCCATATCACGTGTCCATATATATATATATGGTCTGACGTCAACAATTTTATAATAGTAAATAAATAAAAAGATTGACGGCAAAAATATCAACAAAATACTATTAATATATACATAATATCAATATAGATTATTTTTAACTTATTTATAAATAGAAAAATATTTATTCGTTAACTTAAATATTTTGTATGATTTTTTTTAATTTCTCTAGCTTTTACATAAATATCTATCGATATTGGTATTTTATCGATATTTCAATAAAATTGAGATATCGACACTTAAAGCCTTGATTGCACATCTTTGTATTGCTACACCCTAGTTTTATCTCTTTTTCCACGATTTTTTCTTGATATTATAAAAAGTAATAATAATAATTGATTATTCAAATATGATTACTTACCAACTACTTTTAAAAATATTGCACTTTTAACCTATAATAAAGTCATATCTTTTTAAGTGACTTTGTCCAACAAGACAATTCAGCATAATTGTCCCTTGTGGAAAGACGTCATACACTATATTTAAACTCTAGAAAGAGATAATATTAACTAAATTTTTTACCCAAGGTATCTTAAGGACACGATTTGATTCTTTATAATAGTTATTAATATTTAAAGGTGCACGTTGTTGATATAGGTACTTACTATTAATTTTGTAGATTTTTCTTAACCATGCTTTTATGACATCAGGATTTATCTTATTTGAGTGTGGGGTCGGTTCATTAATGTATTATTCCTCCCTACTCGAGTGTCATGTAAGCTAAGGAATCAATAATTCGGTCTGGTTCAATTCAAATCACTACCTCGCTAATCTTCGAAAAGTTCACTCAATTTGACATCAACCCTTTGATTAGGTTAAAAATATATAACACATGGCAAAATGATCTCTGGCTAAATGATTTGAATGCATTGGAAAATTGAAAATTATTTATCGCTAATATTCAATCCAATAACGTTCACACAATTTGAGATGAACCCTGGATAATCATCCGGGCACTATCTGAGGTTAAATAATATATTTGTCATAAATTTCTCTAAAGTCATTAATGACTTAGTGGTGGATATGACCTAAATTGAAAGGAAGGTATAGAGTTTGAATCCTATTAAATGCAAGTTATTATTTTTTTTGTTTTTTTTATATTTTTTTAATCTAAAATGTTTTCAAATTTTATTTTAAATTAAAACTATTGTATTTTCTTAAAAAAATCTATTTTTTAAATTAAAAATATTTTAAAATTGTATTCTTTATTTAAACTAATAATTTATACTTTTATATCCGTTAATTATATTTTTTAATAAACTATAAATTTATTTTTTATTTTTGTTTTATATTTTTTAACTTAAAATATTTTGATAATTTATTCTTTATTAAAAGCTATTATATTTTATTAAAGAAAAAAAATCTATTTTTTAAATTAAAAATATTTTGAAACTTTATTTAAGCCTTTATGGTCAGTTTGAAGTTTGCACTATATACTGATGCTCATGCTATAGTTGGGAGGCCCTGTTAAGAATCCTACGTTGATAAAAGAAGGTACCTTACATGGTGGAACCTCATAAATATTAATAGGTACACCCTGGAACATTCACCAATGAGCCACATCTTTTGATAATTACCAATCCCAGAACTAACCATTAGGTACTTTAACATTTTTTTGCTGGGTTAAAGATTTTTTGTTGCTAAATGTAACGGCCTAAGTGCTAAACTATTGACCCTGCTTGTTCGGATGGGTGTTCACCCCAAGGTATTCCTGGACCACATGCATACATCCATAAGTAACTTAGTGCAAATGTTAGTGCGTTTAGCATATGAGTTACATTCCATATCCAACCTTTTTTATTATATTTACAATAGCTCTTTTTTTTTTCCATAGTGATTATCACAAGCCTATGTTAACAACACTTTTTCAATAATGACCTATATTCAAAGCGAGGATGCCTCTTTACCGTGGTTTTGCATAGTCTTGTAAAGGAAGAAAGGGTGTTTTATTTACCTACTTTTTTGAGTGATTATAAATATTTTTATTGAGAATTTTATCAACTAGATATAATATTTATGGTCACTGTTACTATGATAGTCACATAGCTTACTTTTTACCAATTTTGTGAGAGACCGAGGCCAAATTGAAGACCTCCCCCTTATTATCTTCCTTGCCAACATCCTCCACCTCATGTTAACTACTCTTGAAACTACAAATGACGTGCCCACCTGCATCCACGAACTCCAGGTTACTTTCTCGTTTTGTGGTCATTGGAACAAAAACTTTCTCCATTGAAGTTGATTAAAGATACAGAGGAAGCCGAGCAAAAATCATTGAAACTTCAAGATATTGATCCTTCTTCGTATCTATACACTAGTCTTCACTGGTGAAAAATAGAGGTTAGTAAGTGAGATGTTGACTATATTATACGTCCGAGTGTCAGCCCTTATTTGAGTCCAGTAATCTTTGTGAAAAAGGATGGTAGTTGGAAATTTTGTGTCGATTATAAAGCGTTGAACAATGCAACAGTGCCAGATAAATTTCTCAGAAGAGTTGCTAGATGAGCTTCATGGTTCAAAGATTTACTTGAAAATAGATTTCAAATCTAGTTACCATCATATTAAGGTGGCTAAAGAAGATGTCCCAAATTACATGTTGTATTCAATGGGGAACATTTTACTACTGTTTCATATCCTAGGAGTTAGCAGGTATGTAGAGCTCGGGAGGGTGATTTCTACCCTCCACCATTAGGTTGTTCATTTCTTGTTGTTCTATTGGAATCAAAGTTTTTTTTTTTCTTAAAGAAAAAAACAAGCTCACTAATATTTGATTTATTATTTTTTCAGATGTCAGTTTAGGAAAAAAGTCTTTAGAAATTGTTGGAAGTATATGGAGATTATTGTGATAAATGTTTCGAAGGCCAATTGACTATGAACGATTACTTTGGACAAATCTCATGTAAAGTTTTGATGCTTTGCTATGAGTTTAAAATCTGTTATAACTTTTTCTTTTCTTTTTCTTGAGAGGGTACAAATTAGGGTTTCTGTATTTATTATTATTATTATTATTATTTAAATATTGAAAATAAAAGGCGTGGTGGGCTGGACTGGAAGTGGAGTGTGAACTTGGGCGGCTGGGCCTTTAAATTAATGGTTGAGTTGGGCTGTAAGAGGATGAAAGAGGGCACCGAGTCCATTTTGGGAATTTTTTTTTTGAGTTTTATGTAATTTAAAAAAAATAGTTAAAAAAACCGTGTTGTAATAATTTAGAATTTGATTTGAAAATAAGTCTTCTGTTTTTTTTTTGTTCTTTTTTAATCTACAAATCAGTTAAAAAAAACACAGTTAGGGCTATTTTGTTTTTTCTTTAGTTGAGTCAAATTTAATCCTAATGATTTAATTTTATCAAAGTAAAACTATTAACTTGAATAACTAATAGTTTAGGCATTGGTATTTTGCCTTTTTTTCTTTTAAATAAGAGGCTCAAGCAATTCCCTATCGTCTAGGACGTGGTCTAATAACAATTTGACATCACCATGAAGTGGGATATTATTTTCAATTTTACTGTTAAATTGAGGCGCACATATGTCAATTTGTCATTGGATATAATCAATAAGTACACTTTTTTGGGGCTATACATGAATAGCAACTTTTTAACATTTTTTTTAAAGAAAATTGCCAAAATTTTTTGTTTGAATGAAATGACCATCAACTCATTAAATCACACACTATTTCATCTCATTGTTGAAATACAAAAGCACCCTTTTTACATATTTTATGATTTCTTAACATAAGAATGAGAAAAAGTTTAAGATTGAAAATAACATGTCAACAGTAATCAAATGTTTTTAAAGTAAATACTAATTTGAATAAAAATTAATTTTCAGATGTTTTAAGGAATAATGCGTGGAATAGTTTTCCAATGTTCATAATTATAGTGTAGATCTAAGGAAGCAAGGAACATTAATGTATATTTTTTAATGAGAACGAAATAAATGTATTTACAGTATATAATAGTGCACGTATCCTATAGTGACAACAAATTTGTTAAATATATATAAAAAATAATGTAAACTAAAATATACCCATAGAATGTAGACATTATTTAACTCACAATCCATTTATACACTTCTTCAATCAATAACTTTCCATAATAGTCTAGAACATGCAAAATAGCAAAATGTTGTTCTCGTCTCTCTCTTGTATCAACAACTATTTAAATATTGGAATAGACCTCTCGTAGCCACCATTTTACACATAATTAATTACTTAAACCTACCATACATAAAATTTATATAATATATACTTTTTTTTTTATATAGCTCGAGTCTTTTTTATTCTTTTATTAGCAGATGATACAATCATCGATACTTTGAGTGGAAATAAGTGTTTTGTCTGTTGAACTACACTCAAATTAGCTCAAATCAATTGTAGTGTCGTATTTGAAACAAGTAGATAGCGTCTCCTCCAACTTATGTTGTCTCTTTTCCTCTAACTAACTACATTTAAAAAAAGAAAAGAGAAGACATATACACTTTTTTTTTTTATTTTAATGTAGAACTCCCTAAGATATCATTTTAAAAGCGATACAATAAACTTCAATATTATTTATTTTTAATCAAAGCGAGCATAGCTCAGCGGTAATTGACATATATCTCAAACTATTTAGAGATTCTGAGTTTGATCTCACATCCTCACTTGTTGTACTAAAAAAAAATATGTATATATATATATATAACATTGGAAGTGTGAAAACGAAAACTATTAATTTATTAACTAGTTGAATAGGTTTAATTCAGTCTCAAATTAACAAGATATACATATACTACTGCTAAATAGAAATGATTTGCTAACTTGATTCAAATTTTGGTCTTCT